AGATGAACAAAATTTTCTTTTACACCAAGACTTTTTCTCTCGTAATGCATGACACTACTGAGTAACTACTACAGTATATAAAAATCAGTAGTGAAATATAAAAACTTTTCATTTTCTTTGAGTGTTATCTGTTGAATCATACAACCAGTCTTTAGTTTCATCTTTAGTTATACTAGGGTGATTCGTAATTCGGAGCATCGCGAAAACTGGAGGATGTACATGGAGGATGATATGGAAAGAGAAAATGTCTATGACAGAGACACTCTACCGTGACGCACCGTATGGTCACAAGAAGGTTATTCAATAATCTTAATGGCTACGTTTTCGGGCTGAATGAATCGTTCCACTAATCTGGTTACAGTTAATCTTAGAATTGTGACCTTTTAGGAAGCTTGCTAACATAAGCATCAGCTGTTACAGCACTTTTACGTTCATTTTACCATACAGCAAAACCAACTCAATGAGTTCTACAAGTATAATCTTTAACATTCTTAACATGTTCCCTTCTCGTGTGAGGAAGTTTCGGCATATGACACTTTATACCTAAACCCTCTAGTAGGCAAACGGTGGGTCACAGAAAATTGTTCCAGTTTTCCTCTGCATATTATATCATCCCTTTCCATGTACGCTTGAGTTTTCGCGAATTATGAATCTGTTTGATATTAAACATATTTGTTTTGCTGTTTGTATTATGCTCTTTTTACTAAATAATTCTTACAATAGGGTTATTATTGTACACAAATAGCCTACCTTAAAATCCGAATTCAAAATAATATCATACACGTGCAAAGTGTTTTATAACAGTAATAACTTTTCGAGAAGTCCAAACGTTTTTATATAGCTTAACAAAATGCCAGCTTAACCGTCTATACCTTAACCATATTAACATACTTCAGCCTTCTCAGTCCATTGTTCCTGTCAATTCGTTTTATAACTGTAATAACTTTTCGAGAAGTCCAAACGTTTTTATATAGCTTAACAAAATGCCAGGTTAACCGTCTATACCTTAACCATATTAACATACTTCAGTCTTCTCAGTCCATTGTTCCTGTCAATTCGTTTTATAACTGAAATAACTTTTCGAGAAGTCCAAACGTTTTTATATAGCTTAACAAAATGCCAGGTTAACCGTCTATACCTTAACCATATTAACATACTTCAGTCTTCTCAGTCCATTGTTCCTGTCAATTCGTTTTATAACTGAAATAACTTTTCGAGAAGTCCAAACGTTTTTATATAGCTTAACAAAATGCCAGGTTAACCGTCTATACCTTAACCATATTAACATACTTCAGTCTTCTCAGTCCATTGTTCCTGTCAATTCGTTTTATAACTGAAATAACTTTTCGAGAAGTCCAAACGTTTTTATATAGCTTAACAAAATGCCAGG